GCCGATACAAGATGAATGAAAAATCGAAGATTAGATTTTTTAAATTATCTGCGGCTTCAACACGCAGTCAAAATTAACAAAACGTCTATTAATGTTATTTAACGTAGCTTAAATAATGTCATATAATGCCGTCAACTTAAGTAAGTTGGACATATATTGATGAGATGATGATTGCAATGCAAAAAACTGTGCCCCCTACAGTCCTCTATCACATTATGGTGCACACAACGATTTAATGCGGGCTAATTAAAGTGAGCCTAAAATTTTGGAAAGTAAGTGAAGGTAAATTGATCACTGCTTCCTCCGCCGTCTAGGTAAGTGTTTTATTATCTGCCATGTAAAATCACATGAACCTAAAACAGCACTGAGTATCAAAGCTGATTCATGTGTTTCTTGAAGGACAAAGATGGCAGATGAAACTACTGAAGCTTATCCAGAAAAATCCCGCTCATGTTCCTGATTCAAATCTAATCTCCTTCCAACCTGACAGCAGCAAGCTGAGCTCAGATCAGTGAGCACATCTCCAGCTTTGTCTTGGACACCTTATACTGTACAGGTCCTGACACACTGATGGTGAGTTTCAGTGCTTAGAAAGCTGTCTCTGTGCCAGTGGCTTTCAAAATTGATTTCAAGGACCTCCAGGGGCCCTGAGGGTGTGGCAAAAAGTTTAATTTTAGTGTCATTTCAACGTCAGAAATGATCCCGATGAGACTTAAGTCTGAAAATTAACCTGATTTTTAGATTTCAATCTTTGTACAGTTTAAACAAAAGTCAAAGATTCAACTCTTCATTACAATTATAATTTGATCTATCTGCAGTCTTAAGGATATGTCTCGGACTTTGGTGTAGCCTATATGTTTTCTGGAGCAGCTCATCAGCACCCTCAGCCAGAGCTAATTACTCATCAATTGTCAAAATCACCTGCTGCAGTGCAGCAGCTCTGTCTGACCTCTCTGAATTAGATGGTCATTATTCTAAATCTTGCATTTCTCTCAGGTTCCTCAGATAAATTGAATATTATCTATTTCACTCAAAATGAACCTGACCATTGCAACCTTCTCACCATGCCTTGTGGCAGTTCAGTATTAAAAACTTATACATTTTCAGGGACTAAATAGGATTAAATGTATTTAAGGTCCAGGATGCAAAGCAAATTCAGACCCTCCTGCTCCCACTGTGTTTCTAAGCAATCTGTCATTCACAGTGCAGGCTAGGTGCTGTTAAAGGATTTAATGAGAAGACAGAGTGATGGTAAAACATGCAGGTCCAAGGTAAGACCCACACACAGTGAATGCTAAGTTTCAAAGAAAACTAATGACACACAATGTCTGGTATATGTGTTTGGTATGGGTTATCTATAAATCAACGAGTCCATGCATTCTAGTCATCAGCTCCCCTCTTTTCATTCAGAGACTTGTCTGTATTGTAATTTCTTTTTGTAATTTTTGGAACTAAAATGCCTTTGATTTTTGAAATCATTTTGGGGCATCATTTCCACATATTTCTCAAAAGATTTATTTAGGCTGTAGTGACAACAATACAGAAATTCATACACAGCTAATGTTAATTTACCTAAAATTGAACATTCTAGCATCCACCTCTACATCTATCAGTGGACACTTGTTTAAATCTCAGCTCCTCAGTGAAGCAGGGAATTTTCCACCACCCATGTCTGTGGAGGCTGCACAGTTCTCTTTGTTTGAGCTCATATTCCATTGTGAATTAAATTATATTTTGATGATATTTCACATGATTTCTGATAACTGGCCTCTATCATTATGTTTATTGTTAAAGCTGCATGGCAAATTAATCTATAATCACAAGTTGGAATTAATAAGGGACATATTTTTGTGATTTTTAAAAAACAGTCTTGGCATCGATTGAGCACAGCTCAGTGTCATATCCACTGTCCTAACCCAAAGTAATTTGCTTTAGTAAAAAACAAGCAAACAAACAATCAAAAGCTGCAACAAGTGATTTTCCTGCCAATTTGCATTTGGATGTATTTACTTAAGCACTGCTGGTCTCAGCAGTGGTCATGTTGTAAATGAGGGCTAGTGGGACCTCACAGTTTGGATAAGACTAGCAAGTAACACAATTATATGCATCAGCATTCACCTTTGGCACTTTACAAAACAAGAAATTAGTGTGTTCCCCTGAGTATAAAAGCATGGGGAGATATTTCTACTGGTAGCTTTTGAGAAATGAAGCCAGCAAGAGGTCTGCAAAGTTTTTCTATTCTATTACTTTTAGAACTTGTTATATATCTCTGCTATAGTTCTAGAAAGAAAATAAGTTGCTAAGTAAAATCATTTTGAAAATTCGGACGTTCAAACACATGAAGAAGCCTTACCTCACTCTGTTGGCATGTTCAGATAAAATGGGACAGTCATTCAGTCATTAATTCATCAAATCATAAATAAAACCAAACTATTCACTGAAAATAAAATCATCCTCTACAGTCTCTGCCATGCTTTCCATTTTCTTTTGCTTCCTATTTCCTTGGTGTCACAATGGACATGCATGCGTGTATGTGTGACTATTGTGGCTGACATGGACTCACTGCATTATCTTAAATATTTTTTAAGTGACAACAATACTAAAAATGTCTGTAACATGACAGGATGGCACACATGCTGGTTTCACTTCAGAAAAATGCACTTCTGTATTTTAGCTGAATGCATTCAGTACTCATTCATATTAAAAGTATTTTTGATATGAAGTCATACAGTTAATGAAATGAAACATCCTACAGCCGTATTTGGTGTTATACCTTTATTGTTTTAGCTGCAGTACTCTTACTAAAAGGAAATGGCTTTCCTTGCAAGTTCTGTGATCAGTGATTTTTTAATCATTGCTGTGCTTATCTTAGGTATCACTAGCTACATTAGGTTAATGATAACTTAGTTCCTTTTCAATCTACAGCCCTAATCAAACACAGTGTTGATTATAATTAAAGCAGCAGTCACACTGTCAGGCTGCTGACCTGCTGTGTGAAAGCTGACCTGTTTACGTGGAGCCCAGCCTCTTTTAGTTGAGTAAATGTGAATGTAGCCTGCTATCATTTAATATAGCTTCTGGTATCATAGTAAATGCAGTGCACTATGCAAGTGTTAGCATGCTTTGTTCCTGTCCCATATGAGATGTTTAGTTGAAATACTCAACTTTCGGATTAGCTCTTGCTAACCAAGCTAAGGCTAATGTTTTGTAGGGACCTCATGCTAAATTCAGGAGAGTCAGTGTGACTCTTGCACCTGGTTTATTTGACCCAGTTTTAGTAGATTTAATTAGTCCTAAGATAATGATAATGATAATAATAATGAAAAGCATTTAGTTTGCTGCCATATTTCTCTTGTTGAAAGTTTACATCAACAAGTTATTGATTACTGACCTTCCCGTCCCAACCAGTCCCATTACACATTTCCCAGCAGGATGTTGGATGTGAAGACGTGGAGACTTTAAGTTTGCTCTGAGCTGAAAAAAATACTTGAATTAGCGAGTAAGGCCAGGGGTATAACACTAAATTCTGGGCCCTATTCATATGTAGTCTCTGTGGGCCCCCCGCCCATGCTGTCTTGATCCATGTCTCTCTTGCGCACCTTTTAAAATCTTTCATTGAAAAAATGTGTTTACTTCTTTCCCTTTCCTTTCTTGTCCTGTCTCTTCATGACATGACAGTGTACATTGGTGCTCCAGCAGTAGCTCTAGATGTATTTAGAGAGGAATCTTAGTGCATGGGTGGACTAAACCAATTTGCTCCTTTAAGGGGTGAGAGGGGCCTCAGAGAGCTTCCATTTTATTCAGAGCTTCTATTTTTTTGTCACAGGTTCAGTCTTTCAATAGATTTATTCAGCCCATTTTAATTTAGTTATGGCACTAATTACTTAGAAATAAAAAAAAAACTGCAAACAAAACAAAACTTTTCATTCTAGCCTTTTGGAGGACCCCTTTCCCACTGAGGCCCTGTATAGGATGTCTTGCTGAGTTACTGCTAGAATGTACTGTTGCTACCTTTAAAGTTAGATCTTCAATACTGTGCCCAGCTTTCTCCCCATTTACTGCCATCACAATGTCTGTTTGTTACAAATTACTGAACGTAATGTAAATTCATTTTTTACTGACATGAAGAAATTGCATATTCATTTGTATTACTTACGTTTAAAATGTCAAAAGTGGCCTGGGTGGTCTAAAAGATTCTGACCACATTTTCTATGTTTAATATTGTGGATATTAAAAATTGCAAAATGTTAGTAAAACATGTTGGAATCAAATAAAAAGTTTCAGTTACTTGTAGTTGCATATTATTGAGCTTTCCTCTGGATGACAGAGACATGTCCTGCCAGCTGGAGCGCATTGCTGCTTTTTTTCATAATGGACCTAAATAAACATATTTTGTGGGCAAATTGCTGTGTTTTTTTCCTTTTTTCTTTTCTTTTCTTTTTTTTTAAATGAAAGCTTATTCTGTTGTCCAACTCATACTGTGATAGATTTTATTCTGCAATATATGTTACTGGAAATACAGTCATACTGTTTTTAATTTAAAACTGTTTCAGTCATTTACTTTGTCATAAGTTTTCATTTAATTGTCTGTGCAAACATTTTCTGGCCATCTCTCCATGTCTGGATAGGGTATGTTCCATTCTCACTGGGCAAGGACGTCTTTTTGAAATTTTATTACTCCTATCTTATTAACATATCCATGAGATGAAATAAAGCATACAAGGACTAATTCACAGCTAATCTAATTTGAATCTTTTTTTATTTGTATTCCCTGAGTTTTGTACTGATTAATAGAGAAACAAAGTGGCCTCTCATTTCTCTCTCAGAACAAAGAGCCAGAGTTGCCCATAAAAAGTCCCTTTAACAGCACTTTACTGCCTGTTAAAAAAATATGGTACTAATTACCAGTGGTAGTATGTGCTGATGGTCACCACCGTAGTTGAAATCTGAACAGGACAATTAGGGGCAATCAAAGTGAGGAAAAAGACAAGACAATTTTCTTTCCTTCAGTTTTATTGTTGTTATTGTTTATTTGTATTTTACAAATCAAATTTTACTGTCAACAACAAGCAGTAAATTCATGCCCTCATTCAGAGACAGAGCCGTCATGACATGCAGACAGTCCAACAACACTCAGACATATGGGATTTTCATTCATGTCTTTTCTGGTGTGACTCTGTAAATAGTGCATTTCAGTTTTCACCAAGACAAACATTCTGCTTGAGACAAACTAACAGGCAAAGTGTGTTTAATGAAGGGATTTCTGATTATTAGAGTCAATCTTTTTTTGCTGTGGGCAAAGCTAGTACATTTCAGGAAAATACATTTTTAGAGATCAAAAACAAGAGGCAGGAAAAAGATTTTGGTCAAAAGTTACTAATGTACAAAATACAGCATGACGGCTACGCTAGCCTCTTTTATTCTGCTCAATTAAAATTTACTATCTGGAAAGGCCAAGTGGGGAATATGTCTAAATGATGTCAGAAACATATCTCAATTACACCATAAACATCTAAATTACTTCAGCAATGTAGTAATAATGCCATCTCATTACTGCATCTTTTGTCAGATGTAATTACATGATAATCAAAGGCATGAGAGGACCAAATTTAATCAAAAACATTTAGTGAGAGACAATGAGAGCAGCAACACACACAGAAAGAAAAAGGAGCCGCTACACGTCACTGACTGGAATAAACATTTTAACTTTGTCTTCCTCGTGGCTCATTCAGACAGTAGGCACACCATAAAACTTCAACACACACAAAGAACGATGACAGGCTAAGGAAACAGCAGACATCAACTGCAGAGAGGAGAGGACGGCTGCTTTCCGACAACGTCCACGCCAACTGGTTTCTGATTTAACACCACAATAAGGTCAAAAGCAGGGCTGGACTGATACTCGTCTGCTATTTAAGATCTGATATTGAAAATAAAGGAAGTTCCTCCCTGACCACAGCTGTATCCAAGCACTATGTGATGAAACTGCTTTTTATCTTTACTCTTATTTTCTGCACATTAGGTTAATTGTTAAGCACACTAGCTGTTAACCTTAAAAGAAAGTCTACAATAAATTGGTCTAGGTGTTTTCACCCAGACTTGAATGCAATTTGTGCAATTTTGGGTAAATACTTCGTCATTTTTATTAACTTTTTGAAATTTAAATAATTGAAATTCTGCGCAAACTAAAGTTGCATTGGCAGCTTGATAAAAAATATCAGTCTTCAGATCCAACCCAAGAAATAAAATACCAACACTTTATATAGCTGGGATCACACTGATTTGTGAACAGCTGTAAGAGAGGAGAAAAACACTAATAACACTGTACAGAGAAACACAAATCCCAAACTTGATTTGGTTTGACATCAGTGTGCCAGTGGGATGCTTGGTAGACAGATATGGTGGAGGCAGGCAGGTGGGGCAGGTGGGCTGGACGGGGCTGGTTCTTCCTGAAGAAGAGGTGGGACTCTAGGGGAAGTTGGTGGGGAAGAGGCTGAGTGGCTGGCTCTCGTTGGTGGGCAGGGGGGAGCGGTAGCCCTCGAAGTTGCGTGGGATGCTGCCGCTGGTGGAACCCGAGCTGTTACTGAGGGTCTCAATGCTGCCCTCCCTCTGCAGCTCTGCAGGAAGAGAGACACAGACGAACAGAAAGAGAATGGAAAGAGAATGTTGAGTTGGAGCCATCAACCACAATGAGCTGAGCCAATCAAATAACACAACTGTGTGTTCCAGATGTCCATTTGCACCATTTGAGATGTCCTCATTATTAGGACGGGGTATCAAAGTCAACCTAAATATACTTTTTCAGTACCAAATGAAATGTGTTCATAGAATCAAGTATTTAAAACCTACGAAGCACTTAAAATTGGCATCAACCGGTTTCTCAGGTCTTGTTCTCATATTCTTTGATAAGGTACCTCCTGATAAAAGTCAAAACTGTACCAATTTTGAATTATTTTATGTTGGCATATTTCTTTTATGGCCACTTGCGTTAAGACATCTTAAAACAGTTTGAGCAGTTTTAGCATGTTTTGTTATATGGTGGGAAAAAAAAGAATGTAGAAACAATATATATGTTTATGTTCCTCAAAGTAATGGTCAACTATATATGTCAAAACTGTTATTATATGTAACCGCTAAAGGTTTAAGAGATTCACAGGTAACCACAATGATTCTTTAACTCATATATAAACCTTTCACAACATACATAAACATATAGGCTTAAAGCAATTTCAAACATTACATGAAATATATGGGATGATTTTAGATTCACATAAATTCAAAGTGTGCATGGCGGTCAAAGGAGCACAGGACACTAAATGTTTTAGAGCATCATTGCTAGATTAAACACACAGTAGGAAGAAATGTGTTACGAGCAGAGTCCACATCTTTGGGAATTAACCCACAGTGGACAACAGTTTTACAACCAAATCAAATGCTTCTTCCTGACACAGAGTATTTCTCTGTCATGCTCAAGCTGCTTCATAGCCCTTCAACTCTTCAGCATCCCTGACCAAGCTGCTCTTCTGAGGATCTCTCCATAAGGAACCTATTACTGTTACTACATGCTGTAAACCATATCCATCGATATATGGACAGAATGGCGTGCACACAAATGGCAGCACAGAATTAAGATTGCGATGCATGTAGTGTATTGTGACATCCATCAGGCGTCAAGCTGTAGTTAATCTGCCGCTGCTGCCTGGCTGCTCTGCTGACAGTGGTCGACGCCCTGTGAATGTGCAGCAGTGTATATCTATGACAGAGTATAACTCATCAACAAATTGAGAGCAGGATATGATAATACATGTACATGAGAACCTGCACGTGAACGTGGTTACAACTACTACGTGGAACATGTTCCTCTGGACTGCACGCAGACAAGGCTCTTGTGGCTGTTTCTTTCATACTTGTCAAACTTTAGGTTTTTTTTCTTTCTTCTTTGAACCTGTCTCCCAAGTTGGTTCAACTATCAAGCTTGTTTGACATGCAGGGCTGCATGATGCATTGAGTTTTGAGAGGGGTGTATAGTCCCTTTCCCACTGCACAAAAATCTGCTAACACACACTAACATCCAGCTTTTTAATGTAATGGGAAAGGTTACAATCTGCATTCACACCTGGGTCAAATGACTCTGCAGTAGTCACGGGTATTTATCAGCTTCATCTCTGATCAAGAAACACCTGAATGAACGCGCTAATCTCAGCCCCTTCACCGCCTGGATGTAATGACGCACCACCATAAAATACTGTCCGTCTCCACCCAAGCAGCACTTAAACATTGATCCAAATCAGTCAGCACCCTGTTTGAAAGAGTATATATATAAAAAGAAGTAACCACCGTAAAGTTTTCACAGGCTTCTATGCTGCTTTTTACTGTTTACTAACCTGCTTTTTGGCTTGTCCGAGATGTTTAACTAGGCATACTTGTCTGCTGCAGAGCCGTCTACACAGTTCTGGTATACTGGCAATGGAAAAGAAGTCTGACGCCTATTTTTAGCAGGTTTACTCACGTTTAAATAAACCTGCATGCATGCGCTAATTTTGGTGGAAAAGAGGTAGATGTCAACAGAAGCATCACTTCAGCTCAATGTGCAGCACACAATGGCCATATTGAAGTAGGAATGTACCCAGGTGTTCTGATCTGAGGACTGATTTTGATCAAATTGTTACTTTTCTGCAGAGTGGACATGTTGCTGGGAAAAAAAAAAACAATCCTGGCAAATCCTGATGTCTCAACAAAGACAAACCTGTGAGGATGTGTGTCGAGACCCTGCCACTGTATGGGCTCACATAGAAAACATCCGCCGCAGATGTTTTTCTGTGTGTAGTACGCCATCAGCACTGCATTAAAAAAACTCATGGGGCTGTGTTGGCTGGGGCACGTTGTTTCAGGCAGCGTTGGGATGGTGAGTTGAAGTAACAGATCCATGAGTTTGGTGGCTTATCAGATGGCAAAACACTGCACATAGGTTTATAAAACAATAAGGAAGTCCCAGAACCCTTGTGTACTTTCTACCTTCTCAACTTAACCAGTTGAGGCAACTGGCCGCCCACCATAAAGCCTGGTTCTGTTCGAGTTTTTTCTCATCATCATTGCCAAGTGCTGTTCATGGGGGAATTGTTGGGTCTCCATAAATAAAATTAAAGGGTTTGGTGCTGGACCTGATATAACATTAAAAAACATTATTAGCAACATTAAAAAGCAGTGTAAATACAGAGCACAAATAAATCCTGACAGGCCCCCTGTAGCTGTAATCTGTTGTGATCTTTCTGGTATCAGTTTCCACTTAAAACAGTTTCCACTGCTGGAGTTTTTACTGCAACAGAATATCATGAATTCCTTCTGCTGTACGAGATGATGTTGAACTGCACACTGTTGTCTGTCTAAAACTAACTGCAGAACACATCAGTGACCTTGAGATGAACAGACAGTCTAATTAGCTTAAGAGTCTTTTCAAATTCATACAGTACTGACATAAAACCACAGCATGTGTTTAATAAGTCCTGCAGATGTTCAGAGGCCATACTGTCTCTGTCACGGAGGGCATGCAGGAAGTGGGAGCTTCTTACTTCAGTCAAGGAAACCTAATACAAACCACAATGTTATTATCCCAGCTAACATGCAATGTGCCACACTGCGGTGTTAACCCAGCCCGCTGCCTGCCCTCCCAGCCCCTCTTTTTTAATTCTCCAGCTCCACACAGGGCAGAAATACTGCAGTCATCCAAGGCAGGGTGAGGACTGCTGCGTCTGCTATAAAGCCACTTATACTGGTGCTGTTAGAGGAGGTTGCTACTAGATTTTTAAAGGATGCAAATAATCTTTTAACCAGCAAATTCCACAATTTCTTCTGTGTCAATATTAAAAACTAGAAAATATCATTTAGATTTTGACTCTACAGCTGTTATATGTCTCCACTAGAACCCTGGATAAAATTCTTACAACATACTAGAAACTGCAATAGCAACTATTATAATAACAATGTCATCATCAACCATTGTTTATTCAGGGAAAATTGACTGAGTATTAAGCTCTTTTACAGCAATGAGTTAACATTCAGTGGGCTACAAGGATACAAATATATAATTATAAGTGATAAAAAACAAGTCCATAAAAACAAATGCAGCAATGTCTATCGAGAATTATAAACAGCAATAAAAAAAACAGCAAAAAGACGAAAAAGTTAAATAATTAAGAATGGAGTCTGCCATCAAGGACAGATACAAAACAACAACAATAAAAACAGTAATATGTAGAAAATCATGTCTGTCAATTAACCAAAGCAGCAACACTGTAAAACCATATCATCTAGCATACACTTGAAATGATCTACTGATACATACTTGTCCAATTTAAATACCTCTTGCAACTTTTTTAATTTATGTGGACCGAAAAAAAACTAAAAGCTAATTTACCGAGCTCTGTACTGATCTGAGGGGTTTCAAGGGATAAAAATTCCTGTGATTGTGTGCGATGAGAGATGGATTTGATTTTTAAAACAGAAGTGAGGTAGAAGGGTAGCTTTCCAAGCAATGCCTAATAAACAAAAAGGAGACAATGTTTTTCCCTTCTATTAGTGAGTGAACACCACCCCACATTTTGATACAGCTCACAGTGGTGAGTTCTAAAATAATCCCCAGTAATAAAACTGAGAGAACTGTGGTAGACTGTATCAAGGGATTTTAGTGTAGATTGAGCTGCATGCATATACAAAATATCGCTATAATCTAAGACTGACATTATAGGTGATTGAATAATTGTCCTTCTATTTTCTAAAGAGAAACATGACCTCAATCTGTACAAACACCCAATTTAATTCTCACTTTTTTTGTGAGCCCATGAGTGTTTTAAATGAAAGCTTGTCATCTAGCCAGATGCCAAGGTATTTATAATCTATAACATGTTCAGTGTGGGTGCCATTCAGGGACCGGATGGAAAAGGTGTCAAGATTGCACTTCCTTGACCTTGTAAATGGACCTGCATTTGTATAGCGCCTTTCTAGTCATCTAGTGACCACTCAAAGCGCTTTTTACACTACGAATCACGTTCACCCATTCACACACATTCATACACTGGTGGCCGAGACTACCAAACAAGGTGCCACCTGCTACTCAGTTTTAAGACACTTACACAGCGATGGAACAGCCATGGGGAGCAATTTGGGGTTCAGTATCTTGCTCAAGGATACTTCGACATGCGGCCTGGAGGAGCTCGGGATCGAACCGCTGATCTTTCGATTGGTGGACGACCCACTCTGCCTCTGAGCCTTGTCAATAACATGAATTTAGTTTTGGTGTCATTTAAAATCAGTCTAAGATTTTTTAAGGATTTCTGCACAGTCAAATGCACACTAAAGGTTTGATATAGCTTCCTCTATCGATGGTGCACAAGCATAAAGAATCAGGTCATCTGCATACAAATGTGCTTTACAGTTTTCTATAGAGACACAGATATATATATATATATTTATATATATATATACAAAGTGAACAACAATGGACCTGAAATTTACCCTTTTGGCACACCATTTTTTAATTTTAAAATCTCTGAATACATTCCTGCAGCATTTATACACTGGGTTCTATCAGTGAGGTAATCTTGAAACCATTTAATGGATG